TATATATATATTTTTTTTTTAAACCGGGGATTGAACTCAGGCCCTTGCGCTTGCCAGGGAAGTGCTTATTCTACTGAGCCATCTCCCCGGCCCCTGTGGGCATGTTTTTGACATAGAGAAATACCAAATTACAAATATTAATTGGTCATGCATTCATGAGCTGTGATTTTTCCCACTTTATTTCATTCAATGAAGAATGCATATTCTTTTGAATATCTCATTAATATGCAGCCAGTAAGCTTCTGGGTTATTCTATCATGTGCAGTCCCAGCGACCACAGCAGGAAAGGCTATAGATTTTTAAACATTTTGTGAGCAGGACCTCCTGGTCCTGGTTCACAGGCTCCATTCAGGTAAATACTCTCAAGGCTCCACGAGCTCTTGGGGTGATCCTAAGGAAATCGGCAGGTACCGGCCAGGATGTCTGCCTCATCCATGAACTGGGTGCTGAAGAGAATCACGCGGTCGGCTTTACGCTCTTTCAGAAAGTTCCAGATGCGATGCCTGGAGAAGGGGTCCAGCCCTGCTGTGGGCTCGTCCAGGAGGAAAATCTGTGGAAACATGAAAGCTCTGTCGGCATACAATGGAAGCAATCTCCACAGACAGTGGCTATAATTTCCAAAGATTGTAGTGAGAGTATTACTCTCATATTTAGTATTCTATTATGTAATGCTCATCACAAAAATTCTTTGCAAAGAAAGAAAGTTTTTAATTTGGATTCATGCACAAACGTAGCGCGACCTACCCGAGGATCTCCCAAAGTGGCAATCCCAAAGGTGAGTTTTCTTTTCTGTCCCCCACTTAAGTTCTCAGCGAGACTATCCTGAATAGTCTTCATCTCCAATTCCTGCAAAACTCTTTGCACCTAAACAAAGTCAGCATTCACTATAACTTATTTTTTTTACAGTAAACTTCAGTAAGCAGTATATTAACAAGAATAGCTTCAAATAGTCCTTGACACTAGACATTTATTTATTTCCTCTTTTTTTTTTTTTTTTTTTTTTTTTTAGGGAAGGGTCTACAGGGTGTTCAGGGTCTCACTACTAGATCAGACTCATAGTGATCCGCCTGTTTACAGCCTCCCAAGAGCTGGGATTATAGGCATGCGCCACCCGCCCAGTCTCAATCGCCATCTCTGCGCTCCCTGGCAGCAGGGCCGGCATAGCAGGCCCGGGGATCCTTTTTGAGATAGGGTCTCACTATGTAGTTCAGGCTGGTCTTGAGTTCACTTTGTAGCCCAGGCTGGTCTTAAACTCACAACCACCCTCCTGTCTGAGCTTCCTGAATACTGGGATTACAGGTATGCACCACCTCACCCTCCTAGCCTTTTAAAAATCCCTGGTGTTATAAGGCACAATGGCTATATTCATGGGCAGTATCTGGGTTTGCATACTAGCTCATGTATATGCTATAATTTTAGGTAAATTATTTGTCCTTCTTATATATCAACCTGATGCATAAAATGGAGACAATATTTTCTGGAGAGTTGTCAAGATTAAAAGATCTAGAATAGTTAAAGCTAATGGCAGAATCACAAGTTATATATGTATTTCATACTATTCTTTTTAGGGTTTTTTTTTCTAACATTAGTGTATTCTCTGCACATAGACAATGAATCAAAGCATCAGGGTAAATTGGACTAGCTGACTAGCATGTGTCTTGATTTTACCTCATTATCAACTTCATGCGGCTGAATTCCTTTTATTTTTGCGAACAGCCTGAGATTTTCTCTCACAGTGAGGAAGTCAAATTGTACATTCACTTGTGGACAGACTCCAGTGAGCTTGCTGATATTTTCTAAATCAGTCATTTCAGAAAGTTTATTGTCATAAATAGCAACCCAACCTATAACCAGAGGATAAATGTCATTATCAGGACAATATAGTGTCCATAATTTAAGACACTTTTATAGTTTTGAAACGTTACCAAAAAAATTGAGTATATGATCTTATCTTCAGTTGTCATATGATTGATATATTGCGAATTTTTCATGCTAGGGATCTATTTCACCTGTGTGGAGTTTGAAAATATGGCCACATCCCCCTTCCACCATCATGAGGGGAAGTTAGTTTCTCTATCCCATGCATCTAGTACCAGTCATGTGACTCGCTGTGTGAAAGGAGCTCTTAACAAAACCTTTCCAGTTAAGGGGTGACAGTGTTTCTCCACCAAGTTCTGTTTTGCAGCTTAAAATCCTGAGAGAGTCCATTGTGAAAAATCAAACTCATCTCTTATAGGAAGAGAGAGAGAAAAAAAAATAAAGAGGAGGAGGGAGAGAAAGAAGATGACGAAGAAGAGGAAGAAAAAGAGAAGGGAGGGGAGAGAAGAGAAATCAATTCTGAGGAAAGCCTTACCTTTGGTAGGAACACACATCCCAGTAAGAATGTTGAGCAGTGTTGATTTGCCAGCTCCATTGTGACCAAGCACTGTGGTGATCTGCCCTTCATAGATGTTAAATGTGAGATCTGGGAAGAAAGCCAGGAAGGAAGAACAGGAGGGAAAGAGAAGGAAAACAAAAACTTCCATACCCAGACAGGAGTCATAAGGAGCCTCTGCACGGCCTATCAGTCGCAGCTATACCGCTACGGTTTCTAACAGTCTAAATTCACTCATTTGTTAAATCACACTTAATACGGCCATAGTCCCCTTCTGCAAATTTCAGAAGTATACGAATTTAAAGAAATTAAACAGGTTTTACATGCCTAGATTCAACAGCATTGTCAGGCCTATTAAATCCACTTCATAATAATTTAATAAATAAATAAGGATCAGTAATAAGTTACTATAGAGCTAAAAGCCCTATAATCCACATATATTTTCACCTTCTCTCTAAAGCAAAATACATACAATCTTAAAAGATGGCTCTCAGGCTACATTATAAAACAAAATAAGAGCTACAGGGAAAAGACATTATATATCACATGGTAGTTCTATTATATATTGTAATTCTTTCACATATGTGGAATTCCAAAATTATTCCAAACAAAGACAGTAGTGCAGTTGGATGGAAAATTGATCATGAGATTCAAACACTCATTGGCAAAGTCTAAAATAAATCTACCAATTGCTTACCAAGGGAAAAGTCAGTTAAAAAATCAAGACTGTCATG